CATCTTAAGCCCTGTTAAGCCCTGACAAAGTACTCAACCCCGTCCTTCCCCCATGCCCGTCAGAGCCACTGACTGTCCTCTGGAAGGAGCAGGGGCAGATGGCCTGCAGACAGCGCCCCATGACTCCAGGGACGGGCAGCTCACCGTCCAGCTCTCGCTAGGAGAAATAGGGTATCCTACCCCCTGGTGGGGAGTGCCCGAGGCAGCCCAGCCTGCAGGAACACCCCATTTCTTCCAGCCTGAGTGCCTGCTGGTGTTGGCATTTCCCTTCTGCTCTCTTTGCCCCTGTTTTCCTTGTAGCTGAGTACATCCAGCTAGAGAAAGGATGCCAATGTGATTTTCTAATTAAAGGTGTTTTTTATCAAGAGGGTTTTTAAGTCATAGAATTAAATTTGACTTACGTTCTTAAGTTCTGTGGCTGAGCAAAATAAGCAAATAGTGTGCATATTGTTAGCAGTGACCACTGCCTAAAGCTAAATGGTAATGTCTCAGATCACGTGACTGTGGAAGTTCATTGCTAAAAGCTTGGTTTTCTGGATTCATCTTTAATTTCAAATCCAAGCAAGCCTCTGTTACTTTATTTTGTCGTAAAGAACATTTTTCTAAACCCCTTCTTATCCATTATATTCTACCAAAGCATGAGCATTTTGGGAAAATACCACACAGTATGTAGGATTTGGGAGTGAGGAGGGAACATTGCAAATTGTAAGGTGCAAAGTGAATAGTCGGACCTGGGTTCTGACAATCCTATATTTCCATTTGGTGATAAGTGGTTATATTTTTCAGTACATTTCGCCTTTCTGTACATACTGATTGAAGAAGATAATCTGATTCTCATTTCCATTTCTAGTCAACAATGATTCACTGACTTTGACTCCAGTACGTCGGCTGGTGCCTGTGAAGGTTCATCGTCCCCGTGAGTCACAAACACATCCTCATTTTCATTGACTCAGGAAGAAGTCTGCAGTTTTCCTTCTCAGGGGAATTAATACACTGCTAATTTACAGCCATTCTTTGAATCATAGAGCATTAAGATTTGACATGGTTGTTCCTAATTGACTTGGGGTGAGCACAGACAATTCTCATATTTGGTTTTGCCTTCAGATTTAATGACATCCAGGCTGTGAGCTGTGACCAAATTCAGTTCCTCTGCTGACTATTATATAGCGTTATTGAGAGTACAACACTGTGCAGAGAAAGAATCTAAAATTATGTCCTGTTCTCTTACTGAACTCAAAATATTACCAGAAAGGTTCTGTCTGATCGAAGCCCCTCTTTCCCATTCCATATTCTCCATGCTCTCTTTCCCTTTTCTTCTCTGAGTCTATCTCATATGCAAAGAAATTTTAGGATTTATTCACTTAATTCAGTAAATATTTATTGAGGAATTACCTACCAGGATAAGCATTGGGAACACAATGGTGTGTATGATAGACGTGACTCCTGCCCTTTCCCAGCACAGTCTAGTCAGTGCAGGGCTTGGGTGCGTCATATCCATCCCACTGCCTGTCTTTGTAAATACAGTTTCATTGGAACACAAATGTACCAACTCACTTGCATGTTGTCTGCGGCAGTATAATGGCAGAATTGAGTGACTGTGACAGGCACCTATGGTCTGCAAAACCTAAAATGTTTTACTGCTTGACCCTTCGCAGAAGTTAGCCCACCTCTGCTCCAGTTGGGTGGCGTGGCGCCTGGGCAGCCTTCTCTGCCTTGTTAAGGAATATCAGCCCTCCTGAGAGGTCGACCAGCCGTTGACTGTTGTAAGCAGGGAAAGTTCATATTAGAATTCTAGAAAAGTCCCTCTGGCGCTGTGTGGAGATGCAGAGGGACAAAGCGAGCAGCCCTGATGCCCGGCTCCACAGCAAGGTCTCTTGAATCAGACTGGCTGGATTCAAACTTTGGCCCCACCACGTGCTGATTCTGATGTTAGGTAACTTCGCTGTCAGGTTCTCTGCTGTGAAATAGGGGTGGTAACCTAGAACCTAACTCTTGGGGTTAAGTAATAGATGTGAAGCCGTAAGCACACAGTGTTTGAAGTCTCCACTGTTATTAACAGTGTTTGTAGTCATCCGGTTAAGAGGTGAGGGGTGGCCTGAACTAAGGCAGAGGCGGGAGGGTAATGGCCTCAGGCTGCACCACTGGTGATGGCTCTGACCCAGATCAGGGCCGATTGGATGGCGCCCCTGTCAATCTGGTCTCCTAGCTTGGAAGAGAATGGGGTGACCCAGACTGAGGTGGGATCTAACAGGCTGTAAGGAACACCAGCAGCTGAAGATGAGACACAGAACCCTTAAGTCAAGAAAAGATCAAAACAACATTTGGAGGAAGATAAGGAACAAGTTTGAGTCTGTTAAATATTCTTGTTGAGGTGGGTGAATTTGAGAAATCTTTGTATTTGCAAATTTTAGATCAGCGTGGGCCAACCTACACACAGCGTGCATCATGCCATTTGGGCGTCTCGTGTACTGTCATGTCCCACATTCTTCCCGTGTGCAGGTGTCTCCCCGTGGAGTAAGGCGACCCAGTAGAGGCTGTGGTTACGGGTGTTGACATCCCATGACCTGTTCAGTCTACTTTTCTATATTTATGGACATTTCCCCAGTTACCCATTACTAGAGACTCGATGTGAAAAGTTGAGGTGGGAGAGAAGGCTCTCCTTTCTATGTTATACTTATTTGAGCATCAGGATCTTAGAGTTTTATATTGATTTCTCTGTTTTATTTGCTTACAACACTGCCATAAGTGAGTATAATTTTGGGAAGAGCCATGAGATAAATTGGAGAAGCTGACACTTTTCCCATCATCAAAATCACCCCTTAGCTTGAGCCCCCACCTCTCGTTACAGAGACGTGGTTGGCTTCCTCCTTAGGATGTTTTCCCCTGAGAACCGGCAGTACTTCAGGAATATACAGGATTTCCGGGCAGAGTGCCTCCTGTGCCCTCTGACCCAGTGCGGCTCACTGATGAAGCTCCAGCCCCTGCACTACTCAGGTGTGAGGGTCAGAAGTCTTACCTGCCTGTAATACATGCCTGCAGGCAGGTGCCACGTTCATAAGATCAGGTGGAATGTTGCTTTTTATATTTAGTTTTGTGTTACAGGAGGAAAACAGGTGGGGGAGGGGAAGACTTTGAAATGGACCAAAAAGCTGACAGGATATGCTGTCTGACCCAGCTTTCTGGGTATCTCACCCTGTCATTATCTTTGAGGTGTTTTACAATCTGTGAATGATAGAAAACTGATAGCAGTGCACGTGTGAGAAGATTCTTTCCATTGAGATGGAAGCGGGGTACAGTGGAATGCAGTTGGTTATTGCCCTCTGGCTGTTGACCAGTTTCACCAGTTTTCCATCTGTCTGTCAGTTCTTTGATGTTTCTGTGAAGTCTCTGGATTCACCTGTGAACCAGTTGTAACATCATTCGGGTTCGCATTTTAAGTAATGAGTCAATTTAAAGTGTCTTGCCAGATGCAACATAAAAATTCTCTTGTTTAAACAAGCACATAACATCTCTAGAGATTCACAAGGAAGCATGATTGCCTCTGGGGAAGGGAAGGCAGGAAGTCTTGCTTTTCACTACATTCCTTTCTGGGTCCTTTGCATTTTGTGTCATATGCTTATATTGCCTGATCAATAAATTTTTAGGTTTTTGAACTCTCTAGAACCATCTTTTGCTAGCCCTTACCAAAATTTCATCATTAACAAAGTTCACATTTGTGTTACCTCACCTTCTGAAGAGATCATTGTCTCCAAGTAAACCACCAGGAGATAGCAACCAACACCTGGTACCTAGAGCTTTATTTCTGTACTCTTTGGAACAAGATTTTTAAACTTCACTTGTCAGGATAGCTTTAACACTGCAGACACACTGTAGTCAGGTGGCACTGCTTGTATTGTGAGTATGAAGGAACCGATAATCTGAGTGTGGGGTGGGGTGGTAGACTAGTCAGCCTGCCTCTTTTCCCTCTGTGCACCCTCAGGAATCCCCTTGTCTGATTGCAGCTTGAGGCTCTCCCTTTAGCCCAGAGGTTCTTAAGCCTGATGCATATTAAAATCACCCAGGGGGCTTTTAAAAATCTGAATGCCCAGGCCAATCAAATCAAATCACAAAGTCTAGGGGTGGGACACAGACATCTATTTTTTAAAGCCACTGAGGTGATGCTAATGTGGAAAAAACACTGCTTTGTGCATAGAATGGTACTGGTTTAGCAGAAACTTTACATCTAATACACAGAAGCAAAAGCATTGAGGGTTTCTGACTCAAAGAGCTGCATACGTGATGAGGAGGGTCCACACGAGAAGGGAGGCAGGCCCTCCCCAGTATTGTCACATGCAAAGTCTGTTCTTATCTCAGCTGTCTCTGGAGTGGAGCAAACTAGGTATTGGGTGTGGTTTAAAAGTCCGAACTAACTCGGTTCCAGTCACGAGAGCTTTTATGCACAGTTCTGGATTCAGCTTAAGTCTTTCTGAGTGAAAAATGCTGAATGGGGGCTGTTGAGTGTGTATCCCTACCTGTTCCTCTGCCATTAGGGGCAGGAGGCTGGCCTAGTGATGGGGGACATCTAGTATCTTTGCCACAATATGGCTGCAGTAGTGACAAAATCACATTTACCACTTACTGGACAATGGGGAAGGCCGCATACTGTACACATGGCCTCTGAAGTGTCTTTTCGTCCAAAGCCCTGGAACCTCGTTGCTCTAACCTGTGGTGGTATTCCTCGTGGTCTTTGATCAAGAGGTAGGTGAGGAGGGGGAAGTAAAAGCATGCACCCAGTCATTTATTTTAGAATGAAAAGGCAAGGCAATAGTCTATTTCTTGGCATGTCTTTCCTCATGAAAGAGTCTTCTAATGAGAAGTCCTGATTAATAGCCTGCTTCTGTTTCACATTTTACCCATTTTATTGCTGCCTCAGCCTTTTCATAAACAGGAAAATTGGTGTCATGAACTGTGCTGTGGTTCGCCTTCATGTACTCATCGTGTATCCCCTCCCTTTTGTATAGGGAGACAGAGATGTCGATGACCCCATGCCTGACCGAGGAGGCGCTGGACTAGCTCCTGGGGATGACAGGTTCAAACCTGTGGTGCCATGGCCTCATGTGGAAGGAGTAGAAGTGGACTTAGAGTCTATCAGAAGAAAAAACAAGGCCAGAAATGGCCAACAGCGCCATGCTGGAGGGGATGACCAGAGAGACATAATGCAGAGGCGGTACCTCACATTTAAGCCGCAGACATTCACCTACCGCGACCCTGTGCTTCGCCCAGGCATCCTCGGTAACTTTGAACCCAAAGAACCCGAGCCTCACGGAGTGGTTGGCGGCCCTGGAGAGAAAGCCAAGCCTTTGGTTTTGGGACCAGAATTCAAACACGCAGTTCAAGCCAGCATTAAAGAGTTTGGATTTAACATGGTGGCAAGTGACATGATTTCCCTGGACCGCAGCGTCAGCGACTTGCGACAGGAGGAGTAAGCACACGCCCTCTTCTTTCTAAAATGGGGCAGCTGTTGTTTTGATAAATATTCAGCTAGATTGCTAGAATGGAGGAGAATATTTATGCCTTTATTTCAGGTAAATAAGCGGATCTCTGGTCCACAAAGTGGCCAGAAGGCGGGACCCTGCCCATTGAAGGGTTATCCTGAGGGCATGGCCTGAAATTCTGGGGTACTTTACATCAGTCCTTCTCAAAATGTCCCAGAACCATAGCCTGTGAATTTTTTGCTCCCAGAGAGAAAACCAGCTTGTACTGGGATGTCAGTCAACTATTAAATTACTCTTCATTTCACTGACAGCTTTTTAATAACCAAACTTTATTGATGTGTGTTGCTATTCATCCTGAGTCAGCTCCCTACCCGGTTGTGGAGCCATATGGGAAAGTAAGCGGGTGTGGATGTCTGGCGAGCTGGGTGTCTGTGGTGCCTGTGATGGTGCCCCTCAGCACTGGCATGGAGACCGACCCCCCTGAGCAGATGTGCAAAGGGAGCCCTCAGACCAAAGAGGCGACGGCCTCAGCTTTCAGGCGCAGCCCGTGCAGTCTGATTTAAAGTAGAGCATTTCCAGCTCTTAACTTTTGAGGATGGTGATTATGGAACGACCTTAAAGCCTTCCTCTTTCACTTTATTCCGTAGGGTTCTACTCCTCTAGAGTAGCTGTGGGAATATGGGATCTAAAGAGCTGCTCCGAACGTGAATGTACAGTTAATTCGCTGCTACTAGGAGACTCAAAATGTGTTCGGATGATGTCTTGTTAACGTGACCTGCATTTTCAAAGGTTAACACGGCACACGCACACACGCAGCCCCCAAGCAGCACGCTCTGTGGCCACGAGGAAACTCTCTGCCTAACGCAGCCGGTGCTCAGTAGAGCCGGGACACCCGTGTATTTATAGGTCAGGGTTGGGGGGTGATGAAGTGTGCACAGAAAGTAGGAGGGGCATCTAGAAGCAAGAGGCGGAGCATTTCAAGGCCTGTGAAGGGAGAACCTCCGAACGGCGTCCTCCTGATCCAAGCAGAGATGTGCCTAGTTGGGGGTTACCAGGTTTAGCCAATAAGAATAGAGGATACTATTAAATTTGAATTTCAGACAAACAACGAAAACATTTTGTTTGAAGTATGTCCCAAACAGTGTGTGGGACATAGTTATTAAAAAATGTTAAATCCAAATTTAACTGGGTGTCTGGTATATTACCTGGCAACCCTTCTAGCTGGGGGTGCGGGCGGTGGTCACAAAGCTGGAACTGCCCGGCAGGTACCTTTAGGACCCTTCCCAGTGCCTGCCGCAGCCCCTTACCTGAGTCCCCAGCCCCAGTCACGCCCCCCACTCTGCTGCAGAGGGTCTTGAGGGTCCCTTGCTGGCATCCCCAGTGCTGGGCCAGGGAAGACGGGAGGGAGACACTAACACTGACCGACTTTGTGCTGCGTGCCAGCACTGGCTCCAGGCCGTCTCGTGCTTCCCACAGAGGGACCATAGAGACCTCTCACCTGTGTGTGTGCAGAGCCCGAGGCTTAGCATCGGACTTGCTGGTATTCACCCTGCAGAATGGCAAGGCTGGGCCTCCAGCCGAGGTGGCTTGGGGTGAGGGCCCTTCTCTGGCTGGGCAGCAGGCCTCTGCGCTGTGCTAGGAGCCGGGGGTGAACTTAGGGTAGAAACGAGGGTGTTAGCACATGAACGCTTTATAAAAGGTGTGCCATTTAAAAAACCATTGTAAATCTAGCTCACTTGTCAGTGTAAGAAATATGCCCAGCAAGTCAAGTGACATGCAGGACACAGCAGGGCACAGACCCAGAGTCACTTCGGAGCCTCCCCGCCTCCCCCTCAGGCCACTCTCTCTGCAGGCCTCATGTCTCTGCCACCGCAGTGTGTCCGAGATCACCTCTGAGGGCCATTCTTTCATCCCCATGGCCACGCCAGGTCCCAGCCACCGCCATGCTGTGGAGACGGGCTCCACCAGAGCCTGCTTCCCCGTCTCGCCACTCCTGCCTGTATCTGGTTCACACAGAACCGCTCAAATCCAGCTCATCTAACACCACCTGCCTACCCTGCACTTAGTGTGAAGCCAGAACCCCTAGGCAGCAGCGGCCGCTCCCAGTGCCCTTCCCTGTCCTTCCCTTCCCCGCCCTGCTGGCCCCCCCTTGCCCTGCAGCCCCGCTGCACCTGCCTTTGGGGCACCTTGCCCTGCCCTGCCTCCTCCAAGAACGCCTTCTCCCTCCTTAGGGCCGCCTCCTCCCCACCTGTAGGGACCCTCCAAGCTGCCTCCTCCCCACCTGCAGGGACCCTCCAAGCCATCTCCTCCCCCCTTGCAGGGACCCTCCAAGCCACCCCTCCCCACACTGCAGGGACCCTCCAAGCCGCCCCTCCCCACCCTGCAGGGACCCTCCAAGCCGCCCCTCCCCACCTTGCAGGGACCCTCCAAGCCGCCTCCTCCCCACCCTGTAGGGACCCTCCAAGCCGCCTCCTCCCCACCCTGCAGGGACCCTCCAAGCCGCCTCCTCCCCACTTGCAGGGACCCTCCAAGCCGCCAGTGCCTGCTTTATTTGTTAGGACTGCTCTCTGGCCATTCATTTCCTTCAAAGTGTTTATCAGATTTTATAATTAGATGTGATTTGAATTATAGATAGAATATATATTTAGATATAATAGACACGATTTCTACTAGATACAGTTATTTAGTTGCTACTGACTGTCTTTCTTACTGGCGGATAAGGTCCTGAGAGCAGGGAATATGTCTGTTTTCTGTACCAGCTGCTTCCCGTAACTGACTCGTGTGAGGGAGCGAACGAGGGATGAAAGAGGTGGGCCAGGGCTCCGAGCGCGGCTCCAGGACCGGAGGTGGACTCACAGGCCAGTCACTCAGCCTCTCTAACCCTCAGCTTCCCAGTCCTCGGTTCAGGTCTGACATTTCTAGCCCGCGGCTCGGGATCGGCATTAGAAGTAGGTGATGTAATACACAAAGTCTTGCATCCCAGGTCTGGTGGCTGCAAACTGAAGTATTACTGGCTTTTTAAAAAAATTACTCTGGTACTTTCTCTGGCTTATTTGCCATATCAAAATGGCTGTTTTCAGCTACTATTTAACTTTGAGGTCCTCCGCTGCTTTTTTGGAGAATGTCAGTGCCATGCTCTGCCCTCCCTCCGTCGTCGTGCCGCTGCTTGTGCCTCCCTTGGGGCAAAGCCTTTCCCCCCCTTGGTGAAGGCAGATGCTCCAGTCGCCCGCGAATGTCAGCTCCCCCAGTCCCCCCTGCCTCCTCCCTCCCTTCCCCTCCCCTTCCTGCTGCCGGGCCTTCCCTCTCCCGCCCCTGAAGCTGCCCTTAGGCACGGTGTCCCCGGTCAAATGAAAGGGCCCCAGCACGCTCCTTAGCCCCTTTTTAAAATTCGGCATTACTGACATTATACTTAAAAATATTCAAACATCGTTATCCCCAGAAGCTTTTTCAAAACTAAATCCAGATTATTTTTTAAGCTTGATTCTTTCTCAAGCATTTAAAAAAAAATTAGGCTTCATTCCCCTTTGAACACTTAAAACGCAAGGTAGAGTGATACGTAATTTCTAAGTAGAGTTTTTCCTAAATTAGAATGTGGCCTTAAGAACTTTCTCTAAAACAAAAGGCCAACGTCAGTTGCTTGTTATGTAATATGCATATTAGCGCTTTCCTGTGTTTCCTGGCAGCATATCCAACACGTGCGAGAGCCGCACACCCGCGGCCACCCTCCCTTGCGCCCCTGCCCGGGAGGACAGGCCAGCAGAGCCGCCCGGGGAGGCCCGCGTGGTGTTGCCCGCGGTCGGAGCTTCCGAAGAAGCCTCGCCAGCCGTGCCTCTGCCTCGGTCAGACGTGTAGACGAGCCGCCTGCCCGGCTCAGACCCTCAGCCCCGGGCTGTTAACGACTCTGTGCTCGAGGCTGTGACCGTCCTTTGGGACGCATGTTCTCCACCCCAGATGCAGGGCAGCGCTGCCCGGCCGCCAGCGTGGCTCCTGCCCACGGATGTCGCCGCCTCGGATCACCCTCCCTGGCTGAGCCATTCGCTGGCCGTCGTTGCTTGTTAAAACAGCGAATGACCGTGTTTTGGGTAAACTGGAGGCTTGCTCCTTTTTTAAAGGCTTGTGCCAAGAACGACTTCACCTGCCTTCACGTTTATTTTCTATTAAAAAAAAAATCTGATTTTCGTCACAGTTCAGCAGATGCTGGTGAGTCCAGCCAGCAAGGCACCGTGCTAGGCCCTCCGAGGACGTGGCAGTGAGAAAATAGAGGCCCGTCTTCAAGGAGCTCGCCATCTGCCCCGGGCGAGGGGAAGGGTGCCCGCCGTGAGGGACCTAGGAAGGCGAGAGCAAATAACGGGGCTCCAGGGGCAGCCGGGGACCCGTGCGGGGACTCTAGGACGCACCCCGAAGGAGGCCTAGAGTTTCCGCAGGAAGAGGGTTCGGGCACAGACGCAGCGCCGGGCACTGACTTGGGGCCGGCGGTGCGCATAGACGGCCAAAGCGGGCAGGGGCAGGAGCGTCATGTTTGTTAGGCCGCAGCACCGCTCGAACTGATCTGGTAGCCACGGAAGACCCGCCGAAGCTTTACCAGGAGAACGTCAGGAATGTCGGACAGCTAGAGGTTAGCGGGCGGGGACCGGTAGGAGGCTGGCGGCTTTGGATCAGGAACTTCAGAGAAGGTGAACCAGGCGGAAGACCCGGGCAGTATAAGAGAATAAAAGGGTCGGTACTAATAGCTTGGCAGCCGGTGGCGGGGAAGGGGGAATCGAAGATCCAGCCGTGGCCTAGAGGCGCCCGAACATAGAGCCGAAGGCGCTGCCCAGAGCCCCGGCGGTGGCAGGGTGCGCGGCCCGGTCCCCTGGACCCGTGGGCGCCCTGCTTTTCCGTGAATTCACAGAGCCCGTTAGGATGCGGAACCGGGTGGAGCGTTTTCTCGTGGTGGACATGTTAGATTTTCTACTAGACAAAGTCCTTTACTGTGAACTCACTGCTC